TACCGGCTTTCTCCTTTTATTGGAACAGCATGGCGTGGTGGCATGTGAACCACACATGTAAATAGCTTTAATATTGGACAGGTTTCAAGGAATACATGTACCTTTTTGGCCTGTTTTGTATTGCCATCCAATCCAGGTCTGTTTATATAATTCCAATGCAAATTATCATCTAATTGCAGGCCTAACTGGAAGAGAATCTACGGAGGAATACATATCAAAGTAAAACCACCACAATTACAAGCATGCATTCAGTTTCTTTTAAATTTGTACCGTAAACACGACAGCATTCTGGGGCAGGCAGCTGGGAAACTGAACTTGGATACCAGCTCATGATTTAATTTGGACTCGTGGAGGATCAAAACGTAATGCATTTCAAAGAGGTCGTAAAATCACAGTACTTTAAATACTGTCAAATCCATTCACCCGCTTCTGTAAATGTAAGCAGACATTCCAAGGCAGACAGGATTGGGAGGGAAGGTTTTTTAAAAAAAAGAAAAGAAAAGAAAAGAAAAGCTCTCTTAAGATTGATGTATTCTGGGCAAAAGTTAAAATATTTATTAAGTGGTATACCTTTCTAAGAAATGGTAATGCAGAATTCTGCAGATAAATTGAAGGTGATTCGGTTGGAGGTTGGAGAAGAAAATAGAGTGGACAGTCAGACTGGCTTATGATCTTACCGTTTGTACAACGGTGCTATTATGTATTGTTTTAATTTTGTTACACTCACACAGGTACAGAAAATGGAGGGGGGAGCCAGATACAGTGATTTGAAAATGTACAGGCTTCTAGTCCTCAAGGATTCTAAAAAAAAAAATGGAGTGATTCAGGAAACAATTTCATTTGAGTGTATAACTTAAGATAGGAGGAAAACATTTTTCTGGCAGAAAATCCCAGTTCAGAGATAGGAAATTAAGTAAGAAACCAGGTTTCAAATGTACATCTGTAATGTAGACCAACTGGGCATTCTTCAGTCATGCTAGTTGCACCCTGTGCTCTGAGGACAGGGATGTAGAAATGAAATTTATTGAATATAACAAGAAGAAAAAAGCTTAATCTATAATTTCACTACAACTAGTGACCACAACTGAGCCTGAATTTATTGTTGTTAGAAGGTCACAAAAGGGAATCACGTGACCCCAGGACACAACACGAGCCAGTTGCCTGGCATCTCAATTTGTATCACGTAACCAGGGGGAAACTGCAATGGTCGTAAGTGTGAAAAGTAGTCATAAATCACTTTTTTTCAGTGCCATTGTAACTTTGAACTGTTGCTAAATGAACTGTTGTAAGTCAAGGACTATTGTTTCTATAGATGTCAGGTTCTGCTTTCAATAATAATAATAATAATAATAATAATAATAATAATGTTGGAAGGGACCTTGGAGGTCATCTAGTCCAACCCCTTGCTCAGATAGGAAACCCTATACCATTTCGGACAAATGGCTGTCCAGTCTCTTCTTAAAAACTTCCGGTGTTGGAGCATTCACTGCTTCTGGAGGCAGGTTGTTCCGCTGATTAATTGTTCTCACTGTCAGGAAGTTTCTCTTTAGTTCTAGGTTGCTTCTCTCCTTGATTAGTTTCCACCCATTGCTTCTTGTCCTGCCTTCAGGTGCTTTGGAAAGTAGCTTGATTCCCTCTTCTTTATGGCAGCCCCTGAGATATTGGAATACTGCTATCATGTTCCCCCTTGTCCTTCTCTTCGTTAAACTAGACATACCCAATTCTAGCAACCGTTCCTTATATGTTTTAGCCTCCAGTCCCCTAATCATCTTTGTTGCTCTTCTCTGTACTCTTTCTAGAGTCTCAACATCTTTTTTAAATCATGGTGACCAAAACTGGATGCAGTATTCCAAGTGTGGCCTTACCAAGGCATTGTAGAGTGGTATTAATACTTCACGTGATCTTGATTCTATCCCTCTGTTAATGCAGCCCAGCACTGTGTTGGCTTTTTTGGCAGCTGCAGCAGACTGCTGGCTCATATCTAAGTGTTTGTCCACTAGGACTAGTAGAAGAAACAATTTCATATAGCTACTCAGATAGTGTTTTTTTTAGCTTTTGTAAATTATTCTGATGGTGCACAGCATGGGGTCGACCAAGTGAATATAAATTGTCTGGAGAGGTATGTGAAGACAATGTAATTACCTCTTACATATAATGTCACGCTGTGAGGTTTACAAAAACATGAATAAATGCCTTAAATTAATGCAATATCTTGGGAACATCCTACAGGATTCAGAATACCCGCGTTTTAATGACTCTTGAAAGATATAACCACAGCCCACATAGTATTGGAGTTATGGTGGTAGAGCAGTCCTGGAGACGTCAAGTTCTAATTCCTAGGTAAAGATAAAGGTCTTCTTGTCCAATCATGTCCAACTCTAGGGCATGGTGCTCAATCTCTGTTTCTTGGCTGAGGGAGCCAGCATTGTCCAAAGACACTTTCCATGATCATGTATCCAGCATGGCTATACACCAAAGATGTATAGAACGTTGTTACTTTTCCATTGAAGGGGTACCTATTTATCTATTTGCATGCTTTCAAACTGCTAGGTGGGCAGGAGCTGAGCAGGAACGGGAGCTCACCCATTGCGTGGTGCTTGGATCTCAAACCTGGGCTGTCAACTTTCCAGCTGACAAGTTCAGCATCTTTAACCATTGATGCCTACTCAGCTTCTTCCTACTCAGCCAGCTGGTCTCTCTCTCTCTCTCTCTCTCTCTCTCTCTCTCTCTCTCTCTCTCTCTCTCTCTCTCTCTCTCTCCCCTACGTCACTAAGTTGTCATAGGGAAAAACAGGAGGAGGAAGTTCTATATAAGATTCTGATAAAAGATATAGATAGCCACGGAAATGTTAGAAATATTTAGTCTGTGATCTCCAAAACTGTCAGTGATAACACTATGATCTGCATGAAGTGAAGAGTTGCAGACCAAGATAAATCCCTGGAAGATGTCTTCAATCCCAAGAGAAGACATCAGAAAGGGACTCCTTTCAAGGCCTTTTTTAAAATAGTGTTTTTTGTCAATACTGAGAAAAACTGATAAAGAACTTTTACTCTCTGGGGGTAAATTTTAGGAAATCATCTACTGAACTTATCTCCTTATAAATTTGATGGAAAATTTCAGAAGGCCATTTGTATCCTGCTCCTAGTGATGCTCCAGGATTGAGAGTGATAAAGGCAAGATGCCCAAGATGGACTTTTCAATCATACCTGGCCATTCCACCTTTCCTTTCCTTTCCTTTCCTTTCCTTTCCTTTCCTTCTTTCCACGGGACTGTCTGAGATACTACACATCCTTTTTCATGATCTGTTTTCCTAGTTACCGTCTGGAAGGAGGCTTTGCAGTATCCAAAGCAGAATAACTACATTCTGTAACAGCTTTGTACCATATAATATCAACCTTGTGAACTCCTCAGGTTTCCTCTTTCCACTATGTATTCAAAATGAACAGTAGTGTGTGTGTGTGTGTGTGTGTGTGTGTGTGTGTGTGTGTAAGTACGGTATATATATAGGTATATAGCATTTATGTTGTGTATGGGCATGGGTGGATATATACTTTTTTTGAGAGCAGGCAATAAAATTTCATTTTTAATGTGGGTCAGTATGCTCACAGTAAAAAATGACAGTAAAGGTTATCTTATCTTTTCTTTTCTTACCTCATCTCATCTCTTCTTTTCTTACCTCATCTCATCTCTTCTTTTCTCATCTCATCTTTTCTTACCTCATCTCTTCTCATCTCATCTCATCTCATCTCATCTCATCTCATCTCATCTCATCTCATCTCATCTCATCTTATCTTATCTTATCTTATCTTATCTTATCTTATCTTATCTTATCTTATCTTATCCCGTCTTATCTTGTCTTACCTTGCTTTATCTTATCTTATATTTTCTTTTCTTACCTCATCTCATCTCTTCTTTTCTCATCTCATCTTTTCTTTTCTTATCCTGTCTTGTCTTACTTTATCTTGCCTTAACTTGCCTTACCTTATCTTATCCTTCCTTCCTCCCTTCCCCTCCATCCTTTCCTTTCCTTTCCTTTCCTTTCCTTTCCTTTTCTTTCCCTTCCCTTCCCTCCCTCCCTTCTTTCCTTCCTTCTAACTTTCCTCTCCTTCACAAGGCAATGGTATTACCATATTTTCATTCTATTCAGCTGTACTTCTTTTTTCACACCTAGGCTTGAACCTCTGTTCCATACTGGAGCATGCTTAGGGCATTTTCTTCTTTTTGTAAGTAGAATTATCCTTTAATCTGATGGAAAACAAATTGCTTTTGACTTCTACTTTCAGGAGACCGAAACTTGGATCAGTGCACTTGCACAGCTTCTCACATTACCTTCCTCAGAAAGTGTATCTTTCATTGCCCGGTCTTTGTCCCATGACTCTGCAGTCTCCTGGGCTTCCTGCATTTCAATCAAGTTCTAAGAGAAGGTCTTGATATTCCCATCCACCACCTCCTGGGGCCAGGAAGCAAGGAGAGCTGCAAAAATGGCAGCGCAGGGAAATGCAACACAAACATTCTCATTACGTTACCTTTTACCACTTTGCAATCCTCAGGTATATTCAAACATCTGTAAAATCTATTTATAAAATCTGAGAATAATAGATGGATAGAGTAAAGAGAAAGTCCAGGAAAATGGAAGTTTTCAAGTAAATATTTTCAACAACCAAAAAAAGCTCATACTGTAGCTTTGTTTTCCCGGGGACCAACTTTAGGCATGTCAGGACCATTGTTGACTGCTTGCGTAGTCTCCCAAGTACAAACAAAGGATCAGAAAAGTTTTCTGATCTAGACTTTTTTTTTCCAAATACACAATAGATTTCTTTAATTTATATAGAAGAAGGTCATGTATCATATATAACACGAGGAAAGAACATTCAGAAATAGTCCTAACCATACGCAGATGACTCCTTGCAGTAATTAATCATAATAACAATAATTCAATGCTGCAGGACACTTTGAAGTAGACAATAAGCAGTTCATATGGAAGAAGATAAGATAATGAAGTCCTTTACTCAGGGAACCATTGAAGAAAAGAATGAGTCGCATGAGCTCTTCAAAAGAGCCATGAAACCAACTTGAGGATTAAGTGATAGTCTCAAAATAATTCTCAGACGAAAGATACAAAAATCTCATGAACATTGGGATCACATTACATTTCAATCATGACACGATATTTAAATTCTGCTGCAAAGTGCAAATATTCAAAGAACAGCTTTCCTTTTTAGCCAGGCCCATGAAAGCAACCAAATAAATTAGCAGTTGTGACCCTCTCTTTCCTACACACAGAAGAACATCTCTGATGCTAACTGGTTCATAGTGCTTTTGATCTCTTTATCAGATGTTCTCAAGACAGTCAGTGACACAGCTTGCTTAGAGTTTGGTTAAGGTTCCTCCCTCCCAAAAATAATTTCTCATTCTGGTTTGCATAGCAGGGCTGGTAACAGTCTTGTGTTGTACTTCCTCCTCCAACTTTTTATAGTTTGCTGAATTCAGGAGATGTCTGTCTGAGCCACTTCTGAATATTATCTACCTGTTGTGGACCTTAAATATGTTTCACTCCCGTCATCCTGGTAAGGGAACTTGCAAACCTCTGTCAAATTCATCTTCCTTATTCCCCAACTTATTCCCCCACCCACTAAGGTGTGTACATAGTTTCCCTGTCAATAAACAGGAAGAAAATTTCAGGAAGCCATTTGATCTATCTCCTTGTGTTTTGCAGTGTTCCAAACCTTGTAGTCCATTCGTGTTCAGTGAAGGATGAGATCCAGGTATTGTTCGTGGCCTGACATAACCCTGCTTTGGAGAGGTTAGAAGTCTTTTTAGAGGCAGTGATTTACCGTGGATGTCCAGGCGGAATGGTTACACCTGCTGTCCTGGAGCAGTGGTGGCATGCCACTGCTCAGTTTGAAGTGGTTCAGTGAATTCATTAACCTAGAAGGCATTGAAAAGTTATAACTGTAGAGCCCGTAAGGAGGGTGCAAGGCACAGTTTAAAGTTTCTCGGGCAACGGGCGCGGATGGGAAAATATTTCCAGATGCATGCAAGCCATACAACATCTGGCCAGCAGAACTGGGCCCTTGGGACACCACTCCCTCTAGATCTTCTGCTTTGCCACTTCTGACATCGCCAATGCTCAGAGACGACAAAGTGGGCACCTCCACCATGAAGTGGGGCAGAAAGTGAGGACCGGGGGCACTTCCCAACTTGTGGTGGCTTGGGAACATTAGGGACGGCTGTCTTAAAAGGTTGGTAGGGCAAATCTTGTAGCAGATGGGTAGACCAAGGTGGTGCAGGTAAGAATCTGGGCAGGGCATGCCAAGATTGGTTGCGGAGAGGTGAAGGGTGGGAGGAGAACCCGCAGAAGAAAGGAGAGAGCTGAGAGGTGATGGGGTCCCCCCAGAGGGCGTTGCAGGAGAAGAGCCGGAACTTCCACCTAGGATAAAGCAAATAAAATGACATTATGAAGTGATAACAAACCCAAGAGAATTTTGTTCTCCACCTTTCATAATACTCAGGATCATCAAAGTTAGAAACGTTGGTAACGACGAGGGAGAACTTGAGATGGCTGCAATCATGGTCCCCTTGGAAGGTCCCTTTTCTTTAGATGGCAAAGTATTCCCAGACATTGAAGTCATTCCACTCATCCAAGCTGGTCAACCAAAAAGCTTATAAACATTTCCTGTTCAGGCCAGGTTGCTGTCCTGGTCTTCAAACAAATATACTAGCTTCAAAAAAAAAAAAAAAAGTAATTTCCCTCAGAACTGAAACAGGGACAGTAAATATTATAGACCTACTGTAGTGTATGCAGATAGACTGTAACGGACTCTGGAATTTCCATCGTTAAGTCATGATAGTCGTAAGTCAAGCAGCCATGTGATCCACACGATTTTGCAAACTGTTTTACGGTAGTCATTAAGCCAACAGCTCGGTTGTAAACTGAAGCCGGCAATTATTAATCAAGTCAATGCATTCCTTTAAGCTTTTTTTTTTTTTTTTTTGCTGGAAACCAGCTAAAAATGTGATTTTTGGTAAAAATCATCATAAATCGTGTCATGTCAGAATGGAGCATTGTAACCGTCCAGAGTTGCTGGCTGAGATGGGTGGCTATAGAAATTAAACAGATAGCTAGCTAGCTAGCTAGATGATAGATAGATAGATAGATAGATAGATAGATAGATAGATAGATAGATACAGACAGACAGACAGACAGACAGAAACATAGTGATAGAGAGATAGAGATAGACAGATAGATAGATAGATAGATAGACAGACAGATGGATAGAGACAGAGTCATGATAGATAGAGATAGAGATAGAGATATAGAGAGAGAAAGAGAGAGAGAGAGAGAGAGAGAGGGAGAGAGAGAGTAAAGAGGCAGATAGATACTGGCTACAAAAGTGAACCAGTTACCAGGCACTTGAAATGTGGCCATGGGGCGGGGTGCCATCATTCGAACTTGGGTCTTTTGGGGGAGCGGTTGTAACTGAGTGGCTGCTAAGTGATCCGTCATTAAGTGAGGACTACATGTACTTGTTCTGAACCTATATATTAGCTGTCATTCTTTGCCAATGTTTGAGTGTGGCTCTCAAGACCATTTTGATCATGTTGGCTGCATTAGAACAGCCTGATAACAATCATAAACTAGCTGTTCTCTCTATGCCTCCCCGCTGCCAAAAATAAAAAGAAAAGAAAAAGAAAACTTGAGCAAATATTTCACAAACTGAATAGATTTTCGCTGATTTCCCATTTTTCCTTTGGACAAACTCTCCTCAAGGGTCATTTTAAGAAAAAAAAAGTATGTAAATTGTTTGCTGGCAACGTTAAATTATATTTTTCTATTACTGTGTGAAACAGCAAACTCAAATCCAACATTTGTATTATTTTTGACAGTGATTGTTTAAACAGGCTGTACAGTTGTGGATTGCCATAAAGCAAACAGAGTCCTGTAGTACCTTTTGTGTCACATGTGTTTTGGGATTTCTCAATTCACTTCACCAGATGTGTGGGATAACAACCTGAGAGAGTGCTTTCGGTGGACCCACAATATTGTTGCGGAAATAAGACAAGAGGGAGAAACAGGAAAGGAAGCTTTGTTGGGGCTTGGAGATTTAGGTGCCAAAGTAAAACTGGCTTGTTTTCAAGATTTTACAGGTCTGTGTGGACCTTTCCTTTCCTTCCCTTTCCCCTCCCTTTCCCTTTCTTTCTTTCTTTCTTTCTTTCTTTCTTTCTTTCTTTCTTTCTTTCTTTCTTTCTTTCTTTCCTTTCTTCTTTCTCTCTCTCTCTCTCTCAGCAGATTTCATCTTAGAATTCCTTAACTTCCCTAGAGCTCATTTTCTTTCTTTCTTTCTTTCTTTCTTTCTTTCTTTCTTTCTTTCTTTCTTTCTTTCTTTCTTTCCTATCTATCTATCTATCTATCTATCTATCTATCTATCTATCTATCTATCTATCTATCTATCTATCTATCTATCTTTCAGCAGATTTCATCTTAGAATTCCTTAACTTCCCTAGAGTTCATATTCTTTCTTTCTTTCTTTCTTTCTTTCTTTCTTTCTTTCTTTCTTTCTTTCTCTCTCTCTCTCTCTCTCTCTCTCTCTCTATCTCTCTCTCAGCAGATTTCATCTTAGAATTCCTTAACTTCCCTAGAGCTCATTTTCTTTCTTTCTTTCTTTCTTTCTTTCTTTCTTTCTTTCTTTCTTTCTTTCTTTCTTTCTTTCTCTTTTTTCTTTCTTTCTTTCTCTCCCTCTCTTCCTCTCTCCCTCTCTCCCTCTCTCCCTCTCTCCCTCTCTCTAAGTCTAACTCTGCTTCCTTTGTGGAAAGATATAGACATCATTACTCTGCAAGTGAATTTGGACTGAGTTTTTGCTAAGAGATTTCTGCTCGTCTTCCTATTTTTGATTCTGCCCCACAGAGAATATTATTCTTGAAAGTAAATGCAGTTGTACACATCTGGTCTCAACAGTCCAAGTGCATCTGGAAGAAACACCATGTTTGACTCACAGGGTTGGCATTGCCAATGCCACACAAATCTTTGCCTACTTTGGCAAAAGAGGACCACATCTGCTGAACATCTGGTCCACCAATAGAGAGCCAAGCTGCAAGTAAAAGAAATACTGGTCCAGGCACACGTATGGTTCCATCAACCATCCAGGGTCTGTGGTCCATATGAAAATCATTCTTCATCTAGATGGCAGTGGTGGACCAAATGAACACAAAGGCTGATCTTCTGACAAATTTGGAACCCTATGGATCTCTTTCTTGTATTGTTTCCTGGCTGAAGTTCATACCATCTGCCCTTCTGATAGGCATGCTTGATCCCACGTCCAACCATTTTGAGAATGTCCCATTATGCATGCACCCTTATGCTGCCATCCTATTTTGATACAATATTATAGTATTTAATTTGCATCCAAATCCTGTCTTTTCCTCCAAGAACACAAGATAGCCCCTATATTGTCTTTCTTACACATCACTGCACTGAGGTCGGTTAGAGTAAAAAATGGAAACTGGCTCAAGAGGATTTTATTTATTCATCTATCCATTCATTCATTTGTTCGTTCGTTCATTCGTTCATTCATTCATTGGATTTATATGGCTGCCCATTCCCTCTCAGGGACTCTGTGTGCCCTACAAACAACCTTCCTTGCAAAGGACTTGGAAGTGGATCTATCCAGTCTTAATCTGAAACACCTTAGCCTGTATGGGATTGCTAACTACAACCCCACAGATTTCTACATTTTTATCTCAACCATCCTTCGGAGGGAAGAAAAAGGAAAGGAGAAGGAGAGGGAAGGTGCTGACAGTTAATGTAATATGAATGTTCTGCATATAAATGTCTCTCTTAAAATATAAGCCCTGGTATTTCTCCAGGCTGCTAGCTTTGAGCGATTACATCGATCAATTAAAAAACACAAGTCTTAAAAGCGGAACAAGTAATCCCTTTTGATTAATCAGGCCAGCTCAGAATAAGGCAAAGATTGTAGCATTTGCAAAGGGGAAACCTGCTTCAGGGTCCAAAGTTTTACCCATTCCCTCTTGGCCACATTGATGAAAAAGAAACTACCCTTTGGTAGCCAAACTCCACAAACACTTTAAAAAGACGCCCTTTAGGCTGACGCAGTAACCTGCATTCTTTGAAAGATGCACATGGAAATGTGGGAGAAAAGAAAGGAAAGACTGCTGAAGATTCAATACTCACTTGGTTGCTCTGTCCCAAAATGCTTAAAATCTAAGGTCAGCGATGGTCTCCACGGATAGGATTCCAAAAGTCCATCCAAAACTCCTCTGCAACATGATAGTTGGAAATTAGACTTGCATCCCCATGGAACAAGGCCACTGGAAAAGCTATTGGAGCAGAAGTCTAGCGCCCCATTCATGAGAATAAGCACAAGGGTGGATTTAACCACATTTTTGGGACAAAGTGAATTAAGAAGGTACACATTCCTATACAGCTTCAAAGCCATGATATCTGTGCCTTCTTCCCTGCTTCTCTGCCAGTCAACTATGATCTCCTGAAAATGTTTCCTGGAGAATCCAGAAACCCAGAAGAGGCATTTTTTAAATACAATTCTCTGGATTGTCCTAAAGGTGCCTTTTTTTTTTAAAGGCAACTGAACTTTCTTGAGTTTTCCTTGAAGATGTTTCGCTTCTCATCCAAGAAGCTTCCTCAGTTCTGACTGAATGGTGGAGAATGGAAAGATTTATATTCCTTGCAACCATCTGGTCGTTAGTACTCTTCCTGAGAGTTGTTGAGGCCACATGGAAGGGACACCTGAATAGTGCAAATGGGTGTGGAACCTTCTTGGAACTGCTGAAAAGACTGTGTTGTAAACAGGAGAAAGGTGGTGTCGTATTATCCCTCCCCCTCTGTTGAGAGAGGGCTGTTCGATCTTAACACAGATGGCTTCTTTTTATGGTTTCACCTGTATCCATCCCCCCATTGTGGCCAATCTCTACCTGGAAGAGGTAGAAATCCAAGCCCTAAACTCCTTCACAGGAATTCCGCTCAGGTGTTAAAAGAGAAATCTGGGAGGGATATTCCCTTCCAAAAAGAGAGTGATTGTTATGCACAGGGGAGTCTATTACAATATACTTTTATACAGGAATAGTTGCATGCACTCCTACTTACGCATTGCACGACAATATCAAATCCAAGTAAGCTTTATTATGATCACAGATAACCCTAATTTGACATCTTTTTTCAGCAATAGCGCTTAGACTTAGATACTGCTTCACAGTGCTTTTACACTCCTCTTTAAGCGGTTTACAAAGTCAGCCTATTACCCCCAACAATCTGGGTCTTCATTTTACCGACCTTGGAAGGATGAAAGGATGAGTCAACCTTGAGTCGGTCTGGATCGAACTGCTGCCAGTGGGCAGAGTTTGCCTGCAATTCTAACCACAGTGCCACCATAGCTTTTTAACCTAATAACTACCGTATTTTCTGGCGTATAAGGCAACCTGGCGTATAAGATGACCCCCAACTTCGATGCCGAGTTGCATGCCTAGAAAGTCGTCTTATATGCCGGAAACTACCATTATTTCTGGCATATAAGACGACTCGGCGTATAAGATGACCCCCGACTTCAGCGCCGATTTCAACGCTTTCGAAAGTCGTCTTATACGCCGGAAAGTACGGTACTGTTTTTTTACTCATGTTCAATGAGGCCAACTGTGTTGTGGTTCAGATCCAATTTCCAAAATGTATTTCCTGAACTAAAAAAATAGCAGGTGTCTTCAAAGTCAGGACACAACTGCAATGCATCTTTTCCTAGAAACAATCCAGCAGGTAGTCCCAGGAAAATGTACTGTAGACAAGTACCATCTTGACAGCAAACTAGCACTGATGGTGTTACCTAGCTTGGTCATGAAACGTCTGCGAGAAAACCACCAAGCTTAGAGAACACCAAGCACCCTTCTTTTCAATCCTGAGCTACAAATATTCGCTTCTAATAGTGCCTTCAAACTATCATGAGGAAACTGAAAAGCTACAGGCAATTGTCATTAATGATGACCTATTTGTATTTTTTTTTTCATAATGTAGGCAATTAGTAAACCAAAGCATCTATTGTTTATCCATTTAAAAGTCTTTAAACCATCCATAGCTCAGTCGGTCAAATAATTGCACTTTTTTTTTACCTGTTTCTTCCAGGATCTCGAAATCCTTTAGCAAAGGGATTCCGGTCAATCTTCAGTTTTGTTATCTATGGATGTTTGGCAGACAAACAACAAAGGAAGAACTGTGAGTATCATAATTCTCACCAATCTGCCCACAAAACTCTGCTTGTACCTTGGGCAGGTTAATTTACCTGCTGGTTTTGATAAGCGGTGACCGTCGTAAATTCGGTTTCTTTGAAAGAGAACGTCTGAACACCAGCTGCAGGCAAAGATGGGGTCTGGGAGAGATCAAACCGGGAATCCTGGATGATAATGTGGACTCTGGGCTTGTATTTGTGCATTGATTGCAAAATTATCTGCAGTCCACAGAGAAAGAAGAGGAAAAACAATCAGGAAAAGTGACTATTATCATTCTTAAATTTTGAGATTTAAGAGTTGAGAGTTCTACCTTGAGCTTGGTTTACTTAAAAATTAAATTTTCCTTAAGAGCAAACAAAGATGATTAGGGGACTGGAGGCTAAAATATACATATATATAAAAATACAAATATGCAGGAATTGGATTATAGTCTAGTGAAAAAAAAGACTAGGGGGGACAAGGTAGCAGTGTTTCTATTTTTGAGGGGCTGCCACAAAGAAGAGGGGGTCAAGCTATTCTCCAAAGCAGGGCATTACAACCTTTTCACCCACTGTACCACTTTTAGGATATGGCAACATCCGAGTACCACCAGTCGCCTATCAAGGTGTCAAAAACTTGATGACTAAAAAAAAAAGGAAAAAAATAAATCAGTACTACCTGGGGGGGCACTGAAAAAAGTGCCCCCCCAGCCACAGCCGAGCAAGACACCTGCCTGCCCACCCAGCGGTGCTCTTCCTCCTGTCCGAGGTTTTCATTGTTGTGAGCATTTCTGTTGAGGATTGGCAGCGGGGGTGGGGTGGGGTGGTGTTTGGTTTTTATTCCCCCCATCTGCTGGGTGGTTGCAGCAGGTTTTGGTCACTTCACATGACCCTGGGACAATGTGACCCTCATAAATATGAATCAGTTGCTAAGCATCTGAATGTAAATCACAAGACCCTGGAGAGGCTGCAACATTCCAGCTGATCGGCGCGTCTTCTGGGCTCAGCAGAAGCGCCAGGATCAGCGCTGAGCTCCAGCTGGATCCTGGCGCTGATCCTGGTGCTTCCGCTGAGCCCTGACAGCCCTGTAGCTCCAGCCATCTCTCGCTCAGGCTTGTGCGGTGCTGCCACCGGTTCAGCTCATTCCCCTCCCCCGCTACCACTTTTCTAGGATGGTCGTGTACCACCTGCCAGGTGCCAATGTACCACAGGTGGTACCTATACCACTGGTTGAAAAGCCTTGCTCCAAAGTGCCTGAAGGCAGGACAAGAAGCAACTGATGGAAACTAATCAAGGAGAGAAGCAACCTAGAACTAAGGAGAAACTTCCTGACAGTTAGAACAATTAACCAGTGGAACAACCTGCCTCCAGAAGTGGTGAATGCTCCAACACTGGAAGTTTTTAAGAGGAGACTGGACAACCAATTGTCTGAAATAGTACAGGGTTTCCTATTTGAGCAGGAGGTTGGACTAGAAGTACAGGGTTTCCTATTTGAGCAGGAGGTTGGACTAGAAGACCCCCAAATAGACCCAAGATTGTTGTTGGCAGCTCTAAAAGGATCACTCCCCTTCTTCATGAAAAAAAAATCCCTTCCAAAGGTTTATTTGGAAAACTGAAGGGTGACATAGAATAATACACTCTGCTTGAACTTTCAGTGCAGCTAATAATGATTAGGCCAAACTTAAGCTTGCTTGCTTGCTTGCTTGCTTGTTTCCCACCCATCTTGCCTCACCTGGGGTACATCAAAGATTTTCCTGCTTTGGGGAGAGACCAAAATACTGCTGTCCGAGCATCGGTAGCAAAAATCTCATCCTCACAATCTCTTTTTATCTGACATAAAAATCAACATTGATTTTCTCTATTTTCCTCACACGCAAAATCTACTTTCAAGGCTAAGATCAAATCTGGATTGCAAAAATCCAGTTTGCCACTAGATGGCAGCCAAAAATGCTGCCCCTTTGCTGCCCCTTTGTGGTCATCTGAATTTTGTGGCTAATTCCTTCCTTCCTTCTTTCTTTCCTTTCTCCTTCCTCCCTCCCTTCCTCCTTTCTTTCTTTCTTCTTTCTCTTATTTTCTTTCCCCCTCCCTCCTTCCTTCCTTCCTTCTTTTCTTTCTCCTTCCTTCCTTCCTTCCTTCCTTCCTTCCTTCCTTCCTTCCTTCCTTCCTTCCTTCCTTCCTTCCTTCCTTCCTTCCTTCCTTCCTCTTCTATTAAGTCTCCAAGGCAGCCATCTTGCTCTAGCTAATGACAGAGCTGGCCCTACATTTTTCCCTCCTATTCCATTCCTGGAAAATAGTAGCCTCAAATCCACACCTACATGCCCTTTGTCGTCCATCTCATTGTTGGTTAGCTTCACCCGGTCGAAGCTGATGATCTGCCTCATCCATGTCTCTCCTGAACAGGGGGAATCCGGGTGCATATAAAGCCGGGGTGTGATGCACGAATGGTCCGTGTTTCCAGCCACCATCCACTGCGAGCTGTGATAGACATACCTGCCAAACGGAACAAGGGGCAGAGCATCACTGTTTTGGTTGAATAAGACACAATTGGCTGATTTTACAACAACCACTATTAAGCCATGAATTGCAGCTTAAAAGCCAGAACATTAGGATTCATGTCATAGACTATGCCAAAAATTACATCAGTCACATTACAGCTTAACATATGGGAAACTAAAGCACTAGGTCTTGAGCCAAGGACCTCCAATTAGCTTGGGAAATCAATTCACTGTATTCTGCTCTCCACTGAATAACAGCAATCAGCATTATTTCTGCATTGGAGGTTAGGCTAATCATTCACAGTCCACTTAACTAATCTTTTTTTTTTTTTGCATTCTATATTTCTTATTCCCAGGGTTTGATCAACTTAAGTGTTGCTTGTAAAAACTTTTGCGGGGTTATTGCCGTTTCTCCCCTTTTCACTTTTAGCTCTGCTAAGCTCACGGCTCTATCTCAGTCCCAAATTCAGTGGGAAGAGAGTTTTGTGTGGTCAAAGCTCCAGAAAGAGGCCTTTTGCTCTCTTTCCTCCCTTCTTCCTTTGGGCACGTGGAAGTGAGGGTGGGGGGGGCTAGGCTGGAGAAAAAGAAAGAGAAAGAATTGTGCATTTTGGAAAGTTGGGAGAACTTTGTAGCCCGAACTCTTCAAAGTTTCCAAAGTTGCAGGGACTTTTTCCATTTCTCGGCCAACTGGTGTTTGTGATCAAAGGCCTCCTCCCTCCCTCCCTCCCTCCCAGGGAACAATAAGAAGAGCAGGAAAACAGACCATCCTCATTATTTGATAACTGCTTTGCTTTTCACTCTGTTCAGAGCGGGTAAGACCCGGGGAAGAATCCCGATCAAGTTCAAACTGGAAATGATTGTTTCAGATTCCAGCTCTGTGTGGCAGTTACTTACAAGTAACTGCCTGTGTATTTTGCCAGTGTGTAGAAAAGATACTGAAAAGGGGGACCTGGTTTTATAAATTGTATATTCAACAACCAAATCAACTAGGAGGAGACGTGAGGGTGAAGATGGGCTTAAACTGCAGAGGTTCAGAAGCGGAAGAAGGAGCTCCAAAGCAAATCTTATGAGTTGTGAATTTTGTGAGTTGTTTGCCTGCTGCTTTGCTCCCGGGGAAATGGGTTCTAACAGGATCTCACTGAAGGTCTTGTTGACCTGGGCAGGGAGAATCTTCCTTTTCATAGGCCACTAAAGGGGAGAACTGTTCTCCAAATCTAATATCTCCAAAAGGGACAGGCAGATCCATTCCCAAATCTTTCCCAGATGAACCCGGCATAGCTAAACTGATTTAAATCTAAAACCTTCCATAAATTTTCATTCATTCATTAAGAGGAAGGAAGGAAAGAAAGAAAGAAAGAGGGAAAGAAAGAAGAAAGAAAGAAAGAAAAAGAAAGAAAGAAAGAAAGAAAGAAAGAAAGAAAGAAAGAAAGAAAGAAAGAAAGAAAGAAAGAAAGAAAGAGACAGTTTGGCTTAGAATATAAGTTTTTTAAAAAATCCATAAGTTTATGTCCTTTGGAAAAAAAATCAAAACTTTTTTACCTGTATCTTTTCGAGTCCACTGGGACCACGTCTATAGCAATATAATATTGTTTCACTGGATCCAGACCTTTTACTTTAACTCTGACCGAAGGAAACATTCTCCTGCATGAAAGAAAATTTGTGTTACCTTACTGTAACATTTCACTTGCCAGCCTCACATCTTTCTGCAACTTTCAAACAAGCTGTTGGGTTTTTTTCCCCCAACCCCAAAGCATTTATACCACACCCAGAGTATTAATCTGTACTATGCATTTGAGGTGGGGGGGAATACAAGAAAAAAGAAAAGATAGATCAATGTAAATTGCTTGGCTGTAGAATTACGCATTTTCATTATTAGGAGAACCAAATTCTTAAAAGTTCACTGCAGTTTGTCAACGGGAATAATTATAAGCTGCAATCTGGTGAGGTTGTTACTTGGAAGAATTTCTGGTTGAACAGAAAGGACTTTTTTTGGCATACTTATAAATCAATTGGTTGTGTTCAGTACTCTTCCTGCCTCGTTTCCTACTACTGCTCTCTCCAGTCCCATTAGGAAGAATATTAAGAAATTTGAGGATGCTTCTGAAGGAAAGGCATTTAAATGTTTCCTAGTTCTCCTAATTATCTAGGTAAATGAAAGAAGTATTGCAAGTAGTAATGCACAAAATATTAATGGAATAGAATATTTGTAGCTCAGAATTGAATTCTTTGTGTTCTCTGAGCTTGATGTTTTCTTTCATAAAGGAGGAGGAGGAGGAAGTAACATCATCAGTTCTTGGGTAATGAAACCGTCTGAAAGCAAACAATTAAGCTCAGAGGACACCAAGAACCCGGTAATACAGAATACCTCTAGAATAAGATTTGCAGATAAATAGCCGAAGTAAAGCAAAATAGAGATAAGAGTAAGCTCCTTACTCTTTCACGGTTTCACAGTAATGATAGTTAATTTTGTTTTCCAAATGTTTCCCCTAAACAGCCCATGTAGCCCATGCTCAAGAGTGCCACTGTGGCTCTCCAGCTTTGTTTTGTTCGACTAACAACAACAAATGTTCTAGGTTCAGCATTGCTGATATTTTTGCGTTGTGGGGAGGGGCATTTAATGAAGGTAGAACATTAGGAAAGTCATCTGTTGCCCTCTTGGGTGAAGAAGGATGGATTTTTAACACCCACTTTAGGAGAAGGGCAGATTAATCCTAGAAATAGCAAGACGTGTAGCCTTTTTGTGAGTTTTAATGCTGCAATGACTACATCTGACTTATCAATGTCATCACCATTGCTGTCTTAAGTAGTTTGTTTAAGCCAGTAAAGAGCATCCAATTGTCCAAAGGAGAAAGAAAGCATGGAGTCAAGCCAAAACAAGGCATTGTGATATAATTCTAGCAAACTTTAAAATGCTTAAGCCCAGTTTCACAGAATTCTTGGTGTTTTACTGAAGACAAATTGCTTTAAAATGGTATCATATCAGTTCCCTTTCTGTACAAGTGATTTATAGCACCATCTAGTCATCATTATGGTGATGACTTCTCACGGAAGTAACCACGGTTTACTGAGTGAAACACTCTTTTATTTATTGAGGGGTTTTCATCCTACAAAAGCCATAACTCATAGCTCAAACAAACCACACTAGCTGCGTTCACACAATAAAGAAGCATCTGTTCTCAAGCAAATTTGACTCCTGAGGTCATTATGACTCTAGCCATCTAGTTTTAGTGACAAGACGGTTATGATTTGAAATTGCTTTTGGGGGGGGGATGTTATTATTTTATTATGATTATTTTCATATCAAGTCTGTGGCCCTGAGATTCTCCAAATGTTTTTCTTATCTAAGTACTAATCAGGTCCAAACCTTCTTAGCCAGGACCCTGACAAAGGTTACCCAGGAGTTTCCATTGGCTGAGGTGAACCTTGCATATCTTGTCTTACGCATGTGTGAACCTGATCAGCATGAGAATATTAATTTCAAGGAAGCTTAATGTTTCTGCTCCCAATAGTCACTGACGGTAGCTATTATTTATTTAATTAGCTCAATTATTTTGGGCTGGCAGAGCTGCTTGATCCACAAACCGATCACTGGGGTTGAGTTTGCAAAATGCTCTGAACTAAAACATGGCTTGTTCGAAGACGTTTAGATTTACAACCAGTGGCCAAGCGGCTTTTTTTCTGGTTGGTTTTCACGCAACACTGTGTGTCACCTGACATGCTGTGCCCAACAAATCCACCACACTATGGATTAAGATAGTAATCTGAAACCCTGTATACATTTCCAGGAAGGAAGGAAGGAAGGAAGGAAGGAAGGAAGGAAGGAAGGAAGGAAGGAAAGAAAGAAAGAAAGAAAGAAAGAAAGAAAGAAAGAAAGAAAGAAAGAAAGAAAGAAAGAAAGAAAGAACAGAATTGAAAAAGACCTTGGAGGTCTTTTGATCCAACCCCGTACTGAAGCAGGAGACCTTATACTATTTCAGACAAAACATTGTCCAATCTCTTTTAAAAATCTCCAGTGCTTGAGCATCCAAAACCTCTGGAGACAAGCCCTTCCACTTATTGTTTGTTTCTTCTTGTTCTGCCCTCAGGTGCTTTGGAGAACAGGTTGACCCCCCCCCTCTTCTAAGGACTAGTCCAAAGAAGTACAGCGTGTGAATATAGAATAAAATCATATCCACATTTTGTGGTTTAGCAGAAATAAATATCTTTCTAGGACTGGGAGGATTTAAAGGCAGGATGTGTACAGCGGAAGGGAGCGGGAAGGAGACGAAATATGTGCACCCAG